TATTTTCTTTGACTAATACTCCCAAATTAGTAGATGAATGAAAAGCTGTGTTTTAATATTTAACATATATAAAAAAGATTGATGCAATGCCTCATATATATTGTGAACCACTCTCCACTCTTAACATGAATTGATATTGCTTGCTACTCTTACATGGATTAAAAGTTAACAGAAGGGTCATAAAGAAGAATGCTAAAGCAGATATTTTAAAAATTTATTTCAATTTGTATGACCACCCACCACACTGTCATGACTCTGAGTGACTAGAATGTTGAACTGTAGTGAATAAAGCAGAAGAGGCTGCATAAAATTCATTTTATTTGATATTTCAGATAATCTGAATGGATTAGATCAAATAAATTTATAGATAAAAGAGGAATTGAAAGAGGGAGTTGCAAGTATTGTTGCACAAGGAGAAAGCATAGCTAGACATAAGAGCAGAAAAAAATACAAGTATAATTATATTATGCAGGCATGGCGGCCAAGCGGTTAAGATGCTGGGCTTGTTGAGCAGAAGGCTGGCAGTTCAAGATCTAAGTACTGCATGGCAGAGTGAGTTTCATTACTTGCTCCTGTTCCTGCCAACCTAGCAAACATGTAAATACAAGTAGATAAATGGGTACCATTTTGGTGGGAAGTTAACAGCATTCCATGCACTTTCTGCATATAGTCATGCCAACCACATGACCACGAAAACATCTTCAGTCAACATTGGCTCTATGGCTGTGAATAAGTGCTCATCAAATGTGATAAGCACTGCCTTGTAGAGTCGGACATGACTGGCAGGGGAAACCTTTACTTTTATTTTTATAAGAGAAACAGAAGTTTGTTGAGAAGCTATCGTACTGAGTGAGATATTAATCATGAAATTGTAGCAGAGGGGTGGGAGTGCTATCACTGCATTCAATCAAATGTACTTAATATGCTGAAAAATGAGCTTTGAAAAAAAACCCTTCAAATTTCAATTATAAGTTAGTATTCCACAGCCCAAAGACATCACTAAGGATCTTTATTTAGGAGTAATTTTACACTTTTACAAATTCCCTATTTTACAATTAACTTGATTCATTAATGATATATGCATGATTTCATGTGACACTTCAAGCAATTAAAATTAGGCAAACAGCCTGAAGCAGGAGGAAAGACTGGTGGCTAAATGCTCATTTAGTTTCCTTGTATGCACATTGGATATAATTGGATTTTCTGAAAGCCACTGCCTTATTTATATTTACTTATTAGTGGAACTGTATGGCTGCCCAATGCACTACAAAAACTCTGAATGGCTAACAGTATATAAAAATATTAAACAAATAAATAATAAAAAATAATATGTGCAATCCCAGATTCATAACACATACCTACCTGTAAATGGACATTTTCTGACCATGACTTTTTAAAAAACTTAACACTATTTCCTTCCTGGTAGACTCATACCCAATAGAGAAAATTAGCTTTATTTGATGTAAGAGAGATTTCTTTCTTGTGAGTGCAAGATAAACACAAACACATGCAGAGTAGCAACGCAAAACAAAAACACCACATATTGTGTAAGTCACATGAATCTTAGTCATGATAAAGAAGGCAACAACTTTCATGAGTAACCTGCCAAGAATGAAAGGTAAATTCCAATAGAAAGTATAAATTTTAAGTGAATCAATACACGCATGACATAATTTCAATATGGAGAAATGTTACTTAATTTATATAAAGGCTGGAGGTTAGTGAACTTCTCACTGGTAATTTTATAAATAAGAATTTCATATCCTGAAGCAAGTGAATGTACACAACAATAAATCAGGTAGGTGACATCAAGTTTAGGAACATAGTAATGTTTTGCCAAGAGTCAGGCAGTGGCCAGGTGCCAGACAATTGGTTCTTTAAGGATTCAGAGACAATGAAACCAGTGAATCAGGAGAATGTAAGCTTTATTAATAACTTTAGTAGGCAGATTTTAACAGGAATATAAAACATAACATACCAAGCAAGATGCTCTCCCTTCAGCTGTTAAGAGCCCCCTTTGACAACAGCAGAGATATTCCAAAGGCCCAGATGAGTGATCAAGCTTAATTAGTGTAATGTAATTAGTACCAAAATGTGAAGTCACTCTTCATGCCAATGATAGGGTTGTATTGTCCTTTACCATCACTACAAATCTACAAATGATTCTTGATGAACATATCTTTTCTTTTATGTACACTGAGAGCATATGCACCAAGACAAATTCCTTGTGTCCAATCACACTTGGCCAATAAAAAAAAATTCTATTCTATTCTTTATAACTCCTTTATCCAACAATGCCTTGGACTCTTTAGAAATGGCCACTGAATTGGCATTTTTTTCCCATAGACATCTTATAACCTTAATAATCTTCAGAAAAATATACTCATTTAGATGTCAACAAATAACAAATATATTTTTAGAAGGTATCTCAATATCTACTCCAAAGAAGTGTAGCATCAGATTGATTTCCTATATGGAAATCTGATTGTTCTAGGAAATAATGGGCTGCTTTTATTTATTAAATTTATATACCGTCCATCTCATCAATAAGGTGAATCTAATTAAAACTTGTTAAAAAATTAAAAGTAGCTATCTTTACAGTGGCTGTATTTGTATGACAGAATGAATCATGATTATTAAACTGCACTTTATTTTAGAATGTTGTGTGGCCTTAGCCTGATTCATTGTTTTGTGCAAGCTCAGACCCAGACTGAGTAAATCATAGTAAAAATAATTGGATGAATATTTCATATGAACATGGCCAGTAGTTCAGGAAGTCTGAACACTTAATTATGAACACAAATGTTAATGCAACTTTGTAAATAAGCCCATAGAAACTTAAATATGTGCTGACTAAAATGGTGAGGACAGAATATGGTAACTTTTTCAGATACCAGACAATAATAATTAATCATAATAGCTAAAACATTGTGAGACTACAACATTTTGTATTATTTTGGCAATCTTATCCTCAACATCTCAGGTTCTTACACAATATTAAGGTCATCCAAAAACCAAGATTCTGCAAGATGTCAGACATTTTCAATTGAAATCTCAGTGTTTATATGAATATTAAAAACGTGTGAGATCTTGTCTTTAACATTTGATAAAACAGGGTACTGGGAATATGTGTGAATAAATCCTTTTATTTTCCAAGACCATGTTTAGAGGGGTACTCCTAGTTGTATTCTGGATTAATTCAGAGACTCCTAGGAGTGGCAAAAAGACCGACAGCTAGTCTATGGTCACCCAGTGAATTTCATGAAGGGACTTGAATTGTCCCTAAAGTAGTCATTTCATTACAGTATCACACCAGCTTCATTTATGGTTTAAGAAGGCAGCAATTTATTTGAAAGGTCCTTTTTTCTGATTGGAGAAAATAATACAAATGAAATGTGTACATAATACATGAAAATGTTACAGTTACTTAAAATAAACACCCCAGTATTGATAGGTAATACTTAGTTGTATACTCAAGTCCTACCTAAAAAAGAGCATCATGTATGGATATATTCCACTGGAGAATGATCCATCTGTGATAGATAAAAAATACTTAAAGAATGATTGGATACCTGTAGGCTTCAAGGCCAAATACATCCAACAGGGTGCTTTTTTTGTTGTTTTTGGCAGTCGTAGGTAAGTGATTTACTATTGCCTATTCCTAGGATGTTTACTGTGGGACACAATAAAACAACTCAGGAGTAAATAGCCATCATCACTTAAAAGGAGGGGGGGAAAGAGATATACAGCACCTATTGAAGCCAAGTTGGTCTGGTTATTTAGTGCCTAAACCAGAGATCGCTCTGTATCTAGAGAAGGACTGACAGAGATACAAACTCAAGGTAAACCGCTCCAAACTCGATTGCAGAAAATATGACTTCAGTAACAGAGTGGTCAATGCCTGGAATGCACTACCTGACTCTGTAGTTTCTTCCCCAAACCCCCAAAACTTTAACCTTTAAAACTGTCTACTGTTGACCTCACCCATTCCTAAGAGGTCTGTAAGGGGCATGCATAAGTGCACCAGCGTGCCTACCGTCCCTGTCCTAATATTCCTTTTTACTCTTACTCTTTTCATGTTTTCAAATTATGTTTATACTTTTACCTGTTATCTTATATATGCTTGACAAAATAAATAAATAAATATAATAAAATAAATGAGTCTGCAGCGGCAAAAACACAACGAGAAGGCGAGTGGCTTTTGTGCCTGCAACGCCCTTCAGGTTGAGGCACGGCCACTGCTCAGCACAAACACACGGGTCACTTCAATAACTGTGAAAGGGGCGCCCGTGTGTTTTAACACAACCGGACAGCATGGACTATTGTCAGGGGCAAAGGCGGGCTACGGGTGTCCTTCAGAAACGACTGTGGCGCGCCAATTCTTGGGAGATCACGAAGGCGCCTTTCCGGACGCGACTGCCGAGGCTTCCTCGGCTCGGCTTCCCCACGGAGCGCCCGAGTGTTGGTCTCACTTATTAAGAACCGCCGTTTTTCAAATGTAAATCCCGCTGGATTCAGCAGTTCCCCGAGGCGAGTTTAACCCAGAGAAGCGGAGTGGCTCAAGCGAGAGTCCTCCCCTAACAGGGAAAAAAGTCGCCGGGGCTGCAGAGCAGCGTCGCTCCCCCGCCCGCACAGCCAAGCCTCGCCTCGCCTCGCCTCGTTCCAAGCGCCGCCACGAGAGAGCCCGCGCGACCCTCCCGGCCGTTGGTACCGAGGCGAGGCGTGACGTCATTGTTTCAGGAAGTGGAGGACATGCCTCCCTCTCTCCCAGGACCGGAAGTGGTTTTTTTTTTTGTTTTTTTTTTGGCGCTGCCTCCGCGCCGAGCCGGGAAGGCCTAGAGCGGCGGTTGTGGTGAAGGAGTTGGGGAGGTTGTTGCGGGAGCCGAGTGAGTTAGCCGATGCGCGAAGGGGGGAGCGTCCGATGCCGAGCGCCGGTGGCCTAGCCGCGGAAACGAAAGGTGGGGGAACTGCCGGGGTGGCTTGAGGAGGCCTGTCGCCCTCCGGGGGAGCGGGAGTGGGGAGAGGGGTGGGGACACCCGTGTTTTGGGAGGATCGGTAGCTCAGGAAAACGGCGGTGGCGCCGGGAGGAGGGCGGAGATTTGTGTGAGAGTATCGGGGGCGGAGTACAACAGGCTCCCCGCTGGATCGGACGAAAGATCCTTGTCGTCCGGTGGCAGAAGACCGCTCGATGCTTTCGGCTATTACCCTCCAGCAGCAGCAGCAGGTGATGATCCGAGCCTCCCCCAGTGTGTTTGGGGAGGAGAGGGTGGGTGGTTGGATTAGATCGCCATTTGTTTACCCTCTCGGCGCTATCTAGAACCGGTTTCCCCCAGTTTCGGCCAAGGTTGCTTGTTTTCCAACAGCCTCTGGCGGTCTAAATAAATAGAATTGGGAGAATCGTTTTTATCACAGCGACGATCTGTTTAATAAGGTAGCTAATTCGGACACCAGTTGGCTAATCGTTTGATCACAGAAAGGAAGTAACGTGCCATTTCCTTATAACCCTTCTCTCTCAATTTGGCAAGGCGAGGTGCCAGTTGACTAGAATGGCTATAGAACAGGAAGATGCTTGTTCTCAGAGAAAGTAGATGCTATTGTATTCATGCACTCCCCCTCCTCCCTTATAATATAACTCTTTTCCATTGATCTACATTGCCTGTTTTACACATGGCCCCTTCCATTATTGTTGTTTTCTTCCCATGATTACATCAAGGATTTTAGGCCAATGCCTAAATTTTAGGTCTCTTTCTTTTTTAATTCTGTAAAACAGTTTAGCCTGAGAGACACTTATAAACAGATAGGTATTACTGTTGTATATTACATCTATGTGACTTTCTGCAAAAATGGAACACACAGAGTTTTGGTTATTAGTCTGCAGGGGATTTTAGAGCCATTCTCACAGTTCTCCATCACCTCAAAAAGACTAAGCAGAAGACCACCTCCTATCTTCAGGATCAGCATTTGTTTTTCTTTAAGTTTCTTTTCTCTATAAAAGAAGTCATTGAAGTATATGATACAGAGGCCATGTTAACACCTGTATTAACTATTAAGATAATACTGTACATAGTAACACAATATAGATTAACTATATCTTCTTCCTTTAGTAAAGCTAACCCAAAGTCATTTTTTGAAAAATGTAATATGTCACTTGGAAATAAATTCTATCATTGTGATGACATGCAAAATGGCTGATTTAATTGTGTCCTTTTTACTTTGGTAGACATTGCTGATGGATGAGCTAGTACATGATTTGGCCTCAGCTCTTGAGCAGACCTCTGAACAGAACAAGCTGGATGAATTATGGGAAGAAATGACTCTGAGCCCAAGGCAGCAGCGTCGACAGCTTCGTAAGAGACGGGGACGCAAGCGGCGTTCAGACCTTACACACCAAGCGGAACATGCTTGCTGTTATAGTGGGGCCTCAGAATCCAGCCTAGAAGAAGTTGTGGAGGACTGCCGGGAAGTGCTAACTGCTTACTTTAGTGACTCTGATGACATGGCAATAGCCAAACATCCAACTCTCAGCACAGCTCTCAAGAATAAGCAACACTCATGGCATGAATCAGACTCCTTCACTGAGAATGCACCTTGTCGACCCTTAAGGCGCCGTCGAAAAGTTAAGCGTGTGACATCAGAAGTGGCAGCTAGCCTTCAGCAGAAACTCCGAGTATCGGAATGGACTTATGAGAAGGGCTGCAGATTCAAATCAGCTAAAAAGCAGCGCCTGTCCCGTTGGAAGGAGAATGCTCCCTGGACATCAACTGGCCGTGGACTCTGTGAGTCAGCAGAGACCAGGGCCTTCCTCAGCAAAGGGGGAAGGAATGAAAGGATGGAGTGTGAAGCAGATGAACAGAAACAAGGTTCTGATGAAAACATGTCAGAATGGTGAGATGTTTAGGCCTTTCTTCTCTTAACTGTGGCTCTAATATTTTACTTTGTTTCTTCACAAGTAGTGTCTCTTTCTTTTAGGTAGTTCCCTTTTTAACTAGATTAACTCAATCCAGTCTTCTCAGATAATTTATGGAAAGCTGTTTTGCAGGGTGTACTTGTATAGACCAGTATTTTGTATGAGACTAATTTCCAGTGTTTGTTAAGAAAAAAATAAAGTGTGATTGTTTAGTCTTTAGTCAGCATTATTTTAAATGTTATTTATTTTCTGAAAATAAATGGATGATGTTGAAATGGAGATGTTCCAAAAGGAATACTACTATTTTGATTTTTGTGAAACAAGTATCAGTTGAAGTGGTATAATTCATGCTATTGATTTGAGTAGAACATTAAGCACCACGGTGTAATTAAAGGATGTTGAATGAGAATATATAATGCTCTCCATTGCTGGTCATTCTCTAGGCATATAACTTGCACCTTCATTTTAGATGAATTGCATCAGGTTCTGAATAATATGTTACAGATCAGGGGTGTCAAACTTGTGGCCCACAGGCCTGATGCATCACATGCTGGCTATGCCCACGCCCGATTTAGTAAAGGGGGAAAAAGTCGCGATATGTCATGTGATGACTCCGTGACAACGCACGTTTGGCTCCCATGTTCTAGATGGAGTTTAGCAACTTGTAATATTAAATCAAGGTTCATGTAATTGTTGGCCTTGTAAATGAAATTTCTTCACTTGTAGGAAGATTGAGAGAAGAAATGGTCCTGCATGCATTCCCTGAAACCACTTACCTCCAAAAACATGCTATTTTTAATTGATCAGTTTCTTGTCATCAGTTATAAAAGATGTAAGCAATTGATTGAGACTTAGAATGAAGCAAATTTGTTTAGAAGAAGAGGCCCAGTTGGTTCTTCCATTATGTCCTTAGTTCAGGGGTGAAATCCAGCAGGTTCTGACAGGTTCTGGAGAACTGGTAGTGGAAATTTTGAGTAGTTAGGAGAACCGGCAAATACCACCTCTGGCTGGTCTCAGAGTGGGGTGGGAATGGAGATTTTGCAATGTCCTTCCCCCAGGATTGGGGAGGGAATGGGGATTTTGCAGTATCCTTAACCTGCCACACCCACCAAGCCACACCACGCCCACCAAGCCATGCCCACAGAACCGGTAGTAAAAAAATAATAATTGAATTTCACCACTACCTTAGTTCCTAAGGTCTTGGAAGATATTGTAGATTTTGGAGTAACCTTGGGAGTGTTGTCTGAGTGTAGTTAAGAAAATTTATTTGGTTATAGTTTTATTCAGACTTCATTGAACGCTGAACTATTTCAAAAATATTTTATTACATTTTGATTGAATATGTGAATGGTATGATATTGTAGTCAGATATGATGAATAAAATACCTTTCTTAATCTATACATTTGATATTTAAATAATGGAAGAATTTTTGATAAAACTAAAAAGAGGATAGTCATTAGGATACTGAGGAGTAGAAGTGTTTTCCATGGCTTATAGAATGAATTTTGAATTATTTGATAAAACTCTATAAAAGGATTGTCACCTGGAGTTAATCTTTGAATTTATTTTAATGATTGGTTTTCAATATGTGTTAGAAATAGTAGTTCAGGAAAAACATACTAGTACCATATTTCAACAGCTTCTGGGTAAAGAGAATAATCTACTAGTCATTACATCCTGTCAAGGAACTTAAATTCACTGCTAATCCTTAATATAAATAAACAGTCCAAGAATTGCTTTATATTTTCCTTCATCATCTGAGTTTAATTAAAATCATATCATTTATCCATCTTCTCCTTTCTTATGTGCTTTTCTTTTTTCTTTTTCTTTTGCCATGTATGGATTATAGTGTGTTGTTTTTCTTTCCTGTTCAGGGAACTATTAGGAAAGCAGAAACTTTCAATTCTTTTCTGACAGTAAGAGATCAAATAAGGTGGACAGCACTGGTTGGGCAGTATATGTAATGATTCAGTCCTGAATTACATGTTGGTCTTTTCTATATTCAGAAGAATGCTAGATTTAGTAACCCATAAGGAGTCAGGAAGAGATTAGTTGAAGTAAGATTTTTTTTTGAATTCTCTTAAATGAGCAGAGATGTGCATCCTAATTCCTCTGCGCCCTTAATTAAAATCAGTTAAATCCACAGCATTTAAGAGGGGTCATCCTATAATACTTTAGTGAAGTAGGCATGGAGTCTAAAACCATTCTACTTATTAAGTTTATAAAGTTGTCAGTTACACTTTGGAGGGACCAGTAGAAAAAGTATATCCAAGATTATGAATAGTATTTTGTTGAATAGAATAAAATGGGTGTCAAACTGGCGGTCCATGGGCCAGATGCATCATGCGAAGGCCACGCCCACCCGAGCTCCGCATAGGGGAAAAATGTCACAAAACATCACAGGACAGTAATCTGACACCGCGAGTTTGACACCCATGGAATAGAGTAATAACTTTATTGTCACTTTGAATGTATACTATACATTAAAATGAAATTTTGTTCCATATAGCTCTCAAAGGGTCACCACTTCCAATATACACTACATAACTATGACTACCTACCTACCTAACTACCTACCTAACTAACTAACTAACTAACTAAATACAAAATTATGCATATATCCTTATACATGACACAGAGAAACAACACAGTCTAGTTTGGATATATTCATGTACATTATTCCTGTGGGTTTATATGTTTTGTAGTGTGTCAAATATGAGACTTAAACCATTAACTTGCATCTTGGGTTTTTTAGCTTATTTTCTTTTTCCTCAGATGTGAAGAGGCAGCTTTCGATACCATCCACCATGAGATTCTCCTAGGGTGGCTTCAGGGGATGGGAGTGGGAGGCCTTGTTCTATCCTGGTTCACTTCTTTCCTCTGTGGCCCTCTCAGTCAGTGTTGATAGGAGGGGAGAGATCCAGCCCTCACCCATTGCTTTATGGGGTTCCGCAGGGCTCGGTACTCTCTCCGCTCCTGTTCAACATTTATATAAAGCAGCTGGATGAGATAATCCGTCACCAATACGGATTATTGGAGGTATCACCAATATGCTGATGATAGTCAGCTGTATATCTCGGCCTGTGGTGTGTTAAGTGATGCTGTGTCCTCCCTCTCGCAGTGCCTAGAGGCTTTTAGGGACTGGATGGGGAGCAACGGGTTGAAACTACACCCTTGCAAGATCGAATGGCTCTGGGTTTGGGGTTCATTGGCTCAGGGAGAATTGCCACCTTTGGTCTTGGATGGGGTGGCACTACCCCAAACAGATCCTGTGTGTAATCTAGGGATTTTCCTGGACTCATGACTCCTGCTCGAAGAGCAGGTGGTAGTCGTTGCCAGTGGGGGCCTTTGTGCAACTGCAGGTTGTGCCCCAGTTATGCCCTTTCCTGGACCAACAGTCCCTACTCACAGTCACTCATGCCCTAGTCATTTCCCATCTTGACTATTGCAATGCGGTCTACATGGGGCTGCCCTTGAAGAGCATCTGGAAGCTCCAGTTGGTGCAAAATGCAGTGGCCCGCATGGTTTTGTGCAGACCCTGGGAACTGCATTGTTGCTGATTTGCTTCAGGGTGCAATTCAAGATGCTGGTTGTCACCTTTAAAGCCATTCATGGCTTGGGACCATCTGAGGGACTGTCTCTTGCCGGTCACATCTACCTGACCCATCAGAGCGGGGAGGCAGGGAATGTTGCAGGTCCCATCCCTGAGGGAGATACACCTGGTGGGACCCAGAAGAAGGCCCTTCTCCGTGGTGGCTCCCTTTCTCTGGAACATCATTCCCCCAGAGATTAAAATGGTCCCCACTCTAATACTCTTCCGGAAGATGCTGAAGACCTGGTTCTGCCAGTGGGCCTGGGGAACCCAGAGCGGGATGGAGCCTATTAAATGGCTCGTGTGATTTGCTGTTGCCAGGGCCGGGGGTGGGAGGTGGGGGGTGATTTTATTATATTGTACTATATTAATTTATTTGATTCTTTTTCTTAGTTTTTATTGTTTTAAATGTGTTTTTATATTCTGTAAGCCGTCTTGAGTTGCCATGGGCGAATAGGCAGCAATATAAATTCAATCGATCGATCAATCAATCAATAAGCTGAAGTGGCTACTTTAGAACTTGGGTAAAGAGGTATGAATGCTTGCTTGTTTGGTGACAGAGCAAGTGACAGAGATGGAGTGTTTAGCCTCCCCCTCCTTCTTCAGCCCAGCCTGACCTTCTGCACCTCCTCTGTGCCTCTTGTTTTCTTATTTTTATAGAAAATCAATACTCTGCTTGACACAAACAATAGCTCAGAAGCATAACTGAATGGGGGAAAGCTGAGATCTGTCCATCACCTCTCACTTTAACTCTTCTGAACTATTTAATTACAGGCGTGCTTTGGTCCAGGTGTTGGCAATTGTGCAATTGCTAAATGAAGACCGTTTTAACCAAAGATTGGGTGATCAATAACTCTATAGCAGTAGCTTGTTGGATCAATGGCATTCATTATTTTCTGGTTAAGGCAAGTAGCCTTCTTTGTAACTGGAGGTCATTAATCAGTGCTTACTGGACTGTATGGCCTGTACTAAGGGACTGTGAACTTTCCAGTAAGAATTTAATGTAAAAATAACCTAGTTTGTATGATCATTTGGGTGAGAAAAGTGAGAAATGAGGCTTGGTCACTTTGTTATTTTTGTTTCATTCCATTTGAGGATTTGGTAGTACTTCCAAAACAGATACATGTCAAAACCACAAACCCTCATACCCTAAATTTGGTTGCCAATTACCTAACACTGTCTTGTCCTGCTACCTCCTATCTACTTAAGACCTGTAAGTAGATGTATGATAGAATTTATTTATAAGAGAACAGGTTACCATTTTGTTTTGCTCATATCTTTTATTGAGAAATGAGAACAAGGATCACTCTGAGTTTACATTTAACGGTGAAATAATTGTATAAATTAAGATAAGATACATAAAATAAGATAACTTTATTGTCTTT